TGAAATCTTCCCACTTTGTTTCTCTTCTGGCTATTCTTGGCTCTTTGTTCTTTTATATTAATGTTATAATTACTTTTTATCAAATTCTGTTCAAAAATTCTGTTGAAATTTTCACTGGAATTGTGTTAAATTTATAGATTAAAGGGGAAAATATTGAGTCAATCTAGTCATGAACAAGGTACTTCATTCCATTTACCTAGATCTACTTTGGCTTTCAAAAAAAGTTTTTTAAATCTTTTCCTAAGGCTTGGCCACGTATGTATGTATGTATGTGTGTATGTGTGTGTGTCTGTGTGTATGTATGTGTGTGTGTGTGCATATATATACATATATACATATATACATATATATATATATATATATATATATATATATATATATATATATATATCCATTCCATTCTCCTAGGAACCTCATTTTTATTCTAACAGGCTTCTTTTAGAATTACTTTTTTGTTATTAGAGAAATGCAGTTGACTTTAGTATACTACATTCAGTGAACTTACGAAGCCTCCTAGTTTTTTTGATTTATCTGTAGACTCTTGCGTTTTCTATGTAGATAATTTTATCAAAACAAGAGCTTTGTTTTTTCCTTCTGTATCTTTACACCTTTCACTTCTTATCTCATTGCACTGGTTAGGATTTCCAGCACAGTGCTAACTAAAAGCTGCAATAGCACACATCTCTCCTCTTGTTTCTAGTTTTAAAGGAAATGTCTGCTTTAAATTTGACTTGTTGCTATAATTTTAACTGTAGGTTTTCTGTGGATACTCTCTATAAGGAAGTTTTCTTTTATTACTAGTTTGCTAAGTGCTTTTTATCATGATTATAAGTTGCATTTAATTGAATGCTCTTTCTGTATCTACTAATAAGAATATATATCTTTTGTAATATATGAATGCAGAAAATTATATACATTTATCTAATACTGACTCAACCTTGCATTCCTAGAATAAGGCCAGTAAGCCAGAACTTTGTAGTTGGAGAGTCGGAAGAGGTTGGATGATATCAGAATAGAAACTATATGCTTAAAACTCACTAAATTTTGTGATGCTAGTCTTGTTCACCTCAAGACCTTGTCTCCTCTCTGGCACTGTTCACGAGTCATCCATGCCTCCTCTGAGGAACATTTACTATTGATGTTGCTAATATGACACTTAGCATGTGCTAATATATACAGATCCTGTCTCCCAACATGACTACAAGTCCCTCCAGGAGCAGCTAGTAAGTATACAATAAATGCTTAAATATTCTTGGGGATAAAATGGTGAAACATGAATTGGATAATAATGCAGCATCCTTAGAAAATGAGACTCTGGACCTGAATTTCTAGAGAGCTGCAGTGTTAATCAGCTAATACTCACTGAAACTTAAAAAAAATCACTCTAAATTTTACTCCATACTCCCCTGCTTTGTTAACAGTATTCTGGCCATGCTTTATTCATTTGGTTTTGAGCAAATTCAACTTTTACTTATTGAGTGCAGTCAATCATCAGGAATGTCACTTAGGGTACTGTGCTAAAGATATGGCTGTGGATACATCACATGTGGGATGCAGAACCTCAGCTATGACCCTGAATCAATCTTTAACAAGGAAGAAAAAAATTTAAAAAGCTTGCATTTTCCCCCCTGTGGCATTGACCTCTAGTTAACTCTCAGCAGCAATTCACAGGATTCACACATTCACACATTTCCTCCTCCACTCCACCCTCTTTCATTCCAGAATTACACAATGCAGAACTGCAGAACTGATACATTTTTAACAGGGTTACTGTGAAAAGTTACCTTTTCTCCAAATCACAACTACTTTCCACCTTGCTTTTCCACTGTGGACTCTCTTCTCTGTACCTACCACTAGCTGACCTCATCACTGCTTCCGATCTCTAGAGACAACACAGCATATGGTGTAGCTAAGAGCGCTGAATCTGGAACCAGGATGCCTGGGTTCAAATGCCAGTTTGACATTTACAGTTCAAAGTCCCAGGGGAAGTTACTTAGCCTCACTATTCCTCAGTTTCCTCTCCCATATAGTGAGAATAAACACATATGTACCTCATAAGATTGCTATGAGAATGAAAGGAATTATATTTACAAAGTGCTTAAACCACGGCCTAACACATCACACACGTTTTGTTAAGTACATGGATCAAATATTATGAAGCTGAACTCCAACCGCTCTCTTATCTCTCTCCTAAAACTACTCCCGTAGTTCTCATTTTGGGTTGTGGTTGTACTGGTGGCATTCTTTGGGGGAGGACGGCAGTGCAGACATCATAGCCTTCCTTCCCGGTGGTCAGGGCCTCTACCAGACAAGGAAGGGAAGAGGAAGGAATAGTGTCAGCTGTATTCATTCACTGTTGGGTTAGCCAGGCTAAAAGTGAGCACAGGTAAAGAAAACGGAGCTGTTTATTTAATCAGCATAACAGGAATCTAGAGACACGTGTGACTGCTATTTTTAAATATGTGGAGGGCTGGGATGGAGAAGAGACAGCATTTAAAATTCTAGGGAACAGCTACAGGCGCCCCATCACTGAACATGTTGAAGCAGGAGCCTGGTGACCAGGTGCAAAGGATGCTGTAAGAAAGAATTTTTTTTTTTTTTTTTTTT